CTAATCCAAAATGCCATAGCAAATTTTAATGATTCTTATGCGGAATACCTCGACTATATTATACACCTTGAAAAAAGTGCGGAAAAACATTTCAAAAATTTTTAAAATCTCATAAAAATAGATCCAAATTTCAGCATCAACCGCGAAAATTATTAAATATTTAATACTTTAAGATGAGAATAAAACTCATAAGATTTGAGATAAGCAAAAATATCACCGAATTCCAGCTCAGAGGTCCGTTTGAAAAATCTTTTGTAAATTTCATCCATAGTAAAAGCAGTTAATCCAGGATGAAAGGCTGTTATTTCACTCACGTAATTATGTAAAAACGGAATATCTCCTTTTTTTAACATATGAAGTCGTGTTTCACAAAATCGGAGAAAGTAATCATTGAATTCTTCAGTTGTAAAGCGAACATCAGAGAAACCCCATGTGTTTTCCTTGCAAAGAATAGATGGTGGAGAAATATCCATTACTGAATGATCTCCGTAGCTAGTATAAGCACCATAATGACCATACGATGCAAATGCCACTATATAGAGATTTGATAGATATTGATTAACATCTTTAAACGTATTCCAAAATATGCTTCCTCCGTTGCGAGGCTCATTTTCATTCTGTGGTTTATAAATCAATTGTACCTCATCAACAATCAAAATTATGTCAACTTCACTATGCCTACACGATTGTATAAATTCACCCCATTCCATATTCATGAGTAATTTAAATCCTTCAGCAAATGTCCACTCCATTCCGCGTTTAATCATCCACATTAGTGAAATACGAAAAACACATCTTAATCCATTATTTACTTCATCAGATTTAAGAATATGATATTCCAATAATTGTGCAAGTGATGTCTTTCCAGCCATTGGTGGTGATCGCACTAGAATGATACGCTTTTTAAGTAGATCACTAAGCAATCTATTGATAGTTTCTTTTCTTTGACATATACTATCAAAGTTACTAAGGTCAAGGCCTTCGTAGCCCAAGCCATCTTCTCTTCTTTTCATATTCGTCCCTCCAAGGCCTCCTATTCGATGCAAAATAAAAAAATAAAAATAATATAATTGGTACAAAATCAAAAGTCATATCTTCATACCTAGTCTTGATATTCCTTTATATTTTATACCTACCCCTATGTGCGATTTAGAAGTGAGAATAAAAAAAAAATCAGAAAAGGAGTAGAATTAGTGAAAAACCACTAGATAATTTTCTTTTTGAAGCCAAAATATTTACCAGTAGTGGCAGGTGGTTGTACAATGATTCTAATGTTATATTTATTATTTTCAGAAACAAATGTTTCCACAGCAGTGTTTGGGAGCAACTTCACACCTTTATATTCACAGATATTTTCTTCATTTATTCTTGTGTTTACATTTTCCATATTGATAGGAATATCCACACCCCATAGTTCGAATTCGTCAGCTGAAATATTATTATAATAAGGGTCCTTCTTCTGCCTAATGAGATCCTTTAGATGTCCAATGGTCATGCCTTTATTGATATCAACCGGAAAAGATTTACTAATAATGTCTCCTAAAGCAAGACAGAAAATCTGATGTTTTTCCGGATTCATGAGAATAAAATTTATAAAGCTTAAATTCAAACATTCAAATATTAGAATTTATAATACCGTAATTTCAGACATGGCTTTGCTATGAGCTTCCAAAAATGGTAAAGACTTAAATTTAAAGTACAAAAAAAAAACTAGAAGTACAAAAAAAAATAGTTCAAGAAAAAATTCTTTTCACGATCTGGAGTTCAATTACAATTTTTTGGCCTTTAACTAAATGTAACCGGTTAGCATTAATTAAATCTTTTAATTACTGTAAGTTTGATTATTATACGTATATCTGCATTTATCATTATCTATTTATGTGTAACCACAAGCGGCCATAAAAAATTCAGATGACGTATTTAGGAGTTGGCCTGCACTAACCTAATTTAGGCCAATGATCCTCAAAATTTCTAATTTGTCCGAAATTTTTTTAAAAAAATAATGGTAAATTTGATCCGAAATTTTTTATTTTTTGAATCAAAAAAAAATAAAAATAATGGCAAATTTGGTCCAGGAAGATTTTTTAATTAATGGGCATTTGTGGTTTCATTAGTAGAATTTTGTGATTTGTTGTGGCTGTATTATACAGTAAGTGACGTCAGATAAATTTTATAAACTTACATACATGAGTTCTTTAAATATTTCATTTTAATTGCGTAAATATCATAATAATCGCACAATTTAGCTCAAAGCTATTATTGTAATATTAGATAGTTTATTCTATCAAAATTTAGATTGCAATAGTCAAACACATTAGTGGTATAACTGTCAGAAATAGACGTGGCATTGTTTTTGGACATGACGTTTGGTGTGATTTTATTTTATTCAGAATAAAATAATACAGTGAGTAACATCGCATTTTATTTATTTCTCGAACGTGGTTCCTGAGTACTATAATTCTTGGTAAGGTTGTTCTGAAAACATTCACTTTAGAGATGGGCACGCGCGTGCCCATCTCTAATTATATATCATATTATATTTGGTCCTTTTACACTAAGGGTATTATGCTAAGGAGGTATATTATTCCGCAAAATACAGTAAATCAATATTTTTGGTCATACTAATACTGTATCGATAAACATTTTTTCGATATGTTTCCATGTCCTTCTAATCGATATTCGACAAAAAGTTGATACAATCTAAAGGATATTCTAAAGGCTACGAATGTACACAAATCATTACACTACATATATAAATATTGAAAATAGATTGAATTTAAATCTGAATTTATATGAAAATTAATGTTAATGAATGTAGTCATGAAAATAACAAGAACAAAGGTTTCAGATATATATTACTGTACTACATCTTTAAAAATTTTTGTTAAAGCATTCAATACCCGTGATAATTTAATATTCTGATTTTTAGAGATCTTATACACGTAATGCTTTTCTCGATACTTCAATGTTCTTTCCTCCTCTTTCTTTACATTTCGTAAATATTGTTCGACGTCTGATAAGCTATATAATTGTTGTTCAAGTCTAAATATATCCTCAATAGAGGGTGAATTTGAGAGATGATCACCATTTTCAATCTTCTTTTTAATAAGCTTTACCTTTTCATCGTATTTCCTTTTTGTTTCTTCAAGTCCTTCAAGGATTTCGTTATTGTAATCTTTAGAAGAATTGAATTTCCTTTTTTCAAGGTGTATAATATAGTCGAGGTATTCCGCATAAGAATCATTAAAATTTGCTATGGCATTTTGGATTAG